GGAACATCAATAACAATATAATAGTTTCATTATGACACCAGAGAGCAGCTGTCAGCTCACTTGACATTTTCATTCCTGGACATTTTTCATTCTACGGAAATTTTGGACTTTTGTTTTGTGGTTAAATGTCACATTAACCAGAAATGAACTTTGTTTATCCTGTTTGCTTCAACAGCTACTATAAAGAATGCTTGTTTTAATTTGTGCAATACATTAAGTATTTGCAAATACCTGTTATAGCATAATTTCACTTGCAACAATAGGGCAGTAGGGCAGCAAAAACACACACCAAAACCCCACAAAAACAACTGAATGCAATGATTTGTGAATCAACCAGATTTGATCCAGGATTGTGAAACGTTTGTGGGACATTTACTGAAATGTCAAAGCTAACCACTTTCTCAACTGTTTCCTCTTTTTCTTTCAATCTCACGCACAGGAACTACATGCCTAGTAGCGCTGCTGTCGGACAGAGAACTCACAGTGGCTAACGTCGGAGACTCTCGTGGTGTGTTGTGTGACAAAGATGGGAACGCTGTTGCACTATCACATGACCACAAGCCGTACCAGCTCAAAGAGCGCAAGAGGATCAAGAGGGCAGGTACACAACAAACAACCCTATTATATAAAGCATATACTGAATGTACCTGTACTACACTCTCCTGTGGTTGATTTTGGGGTCCTTGGTTGCCATCTGGTGGTTTATTCAGGAACAGCATTGTGTTAAACAAAACACAGGGTCAGATTGTGATGTCTGAAAATACCTAAGCTGTGTGATTAAAGGATTTTCATGGGTGAGCATGGTTAATCAAGTTATCTCAAATCGATGCAGTATTTCAGAGATTATTTCTGAAATAGTATTTTAGCCCATTATTTGGATTGATACACATTATGTGCACCTAAACCCATCGAGCTAATTTGGATTCTGATTAACAGATCATCAGACTGAACTTTTCCATCCTTATTTCCCCACTTCCAGGAGGTTTCATCAGTTTTAATGGATCCTGGAGAGTCCAGGGAATCCTGGCTATGTCCCGCTCTTTAGGGGATTACCCACTGAAGAACCTCAACGTAGTCATCCCCGACCCTGATATCATGACCTTTGACCTGGACAAACTACAGCCAGAGTTCATGATCCTGGCGTCAGATGGCCTGTGGGACGCTTTCAGCAATGAGGAGGCCGTCCGGTTTGTCCGCGAGCGTCTGGACGAGCCTCACTTCGGCGCCAAGAGCATCGTCCTCCAGTCTTTCTACCGCGGCTGCCCCGACAACATCACCGTCATGGTGGTGAAGTTCAAAAGTGGGGCTGGGGGTAGTAGCAAGGCCGGGTAGTAGGTGAGGGTCAAGTTTAGAGCTCACATTGTGATCAATATTTTCTATGATTTTACCCATCTTCTGGATGGAGACGCAAGTGTAATATCACAGGAGTGACTGGAGGAAGTTAAAGTATGGACACTGAGAATGGTACTTTTGACAGGTTCACACACATACAGACACACACA